GAGTGTTATATAGCTAAAGAGCTGTTTTGAGGGCCATTTATTGCCTTAAATGCTTATTTTAGAGAACAAAGATTGAAATAATGAGCTTGGGCTCCACCTTAAGACAATGAGAAAGGCAATTCCACATTCAAAACCCTTACAGGGTTTCTTTCCCAGTATGAATTTTCTTGTGTATAATAAGCGAAGAGCTCTGACTGAAGGCTTTTCCACATTGACTACATTCATAGGGTTTTTCTCCGGTGTGAATTCTCACATGTCTTCTTAGGGAAGAGGAAACACTGAAGGCTTTCCTACATTTTTCACATTCATAGGGTTTCTCTCCAGTGTGTGTTCTCACATGTATTCTAAGGGACGAGAGACCACTAAAAACTTTCCCACAGTCACTGCATTCATAAAGATTCTCTCCAGTGTGTATTTTCTTGTGAACCTGAAGGTGAGAGCTTGTGTTGAAGGCTTTTCCACAGTCACTGCATTCATAGAGTTTTTCTCCAGTGTGTATTCTCTTGTGCACTGTAAGGTAAGAGCTTGTACCAAAGGATTTTCCGCACTGACTACATTCATAAGGTTTCTCTCCAGTGTGAGTTCGCCCATGAGCCTTAAGGGATGTTTTTTGACTGAATGCTTTTCCACATTGATTGCATTCATAGGGTTTCTCTCCAGTGTGAGTTCTTACATGTCTCCTTAAGGTTGAGGAATCATTGAACATTTTCCCACATTGTTTACATTCATATTGTTTCTCACCCATGTGACTTTTCCTATGCAAAATTAGGTTAGAAATCCTTTTGAAGGCTTTTCCACATTGATTACATTCATAATGCTTCTCTCCATTATGAGCTGGCCCTTGCTGCTTAAGGGATGAATGATGACAAAAGGTTTTGTTCTTATTAAATTTATAGGAATTCTCTGCCATAGGAAAATTGTTACGTATAGGAAACATATTATGTTTGAAGCACATACCATCCTTGGAGCATGTGTATTCCTTTTGTGCTGTCTCAGTTCTCTCAAGATGCCATAGAGCTCTATCACATTCATGACTTTCACAGAGCTTCTCACTTACAGAGTTTTTCTCAAAATTGTTTACATTATGTTTCAAACATTCAATCTCTGAGTCACGTTTCTGGCAATGTTTACTGGTGGAAACTCTCTGTGAAAAAATAAGTTTAGATCTAAGTTTAGAGTTTTCCTCTAATTCACGGTAGTCTATCTCCTGAGACACTGCGTTCTTTTGGGTATATGTCACTTGCTTCAAACTTACCTCTGGAATCTTGAGCTTTTTTCTGATCTTATAGCATTCCTTGTCTTCTCTTAATGTGTAGGACAAATTATCCATTGTGAATCTTATCATTTTCACTGCACTGGATGGTGTCTCCCCAAAAATATTCTGCTTAGGAGTTAATTCTTTGGTTTTCAGTGGAATCTTCTGGTCCAGAAAGATGCCTTGGGGAATTCTCTTTTTCATAGTTCTTACCTCTTCTTGATCCAATGGGGAGATCACAGTAAGTTTGCATAATTGATATTCCACTGATGTGAGATTTCTGTAGTTTTCCAACATCACATCTCTGTACAGGCTTCTCTGAGCAGAGTCCAGCATCACCCACTCCTCCTGGGTGAAGTCCACAGCCACATCTCTAAAAGTCACTGGTTCTTGCAACCAGATTGTTGAAAATCCAGCAGCCATCTTTTCATCTTCGGTATTTCTCACACAGAAACGAGCAGAGTCCTATGTAAGCAGAGCCCGCGTTGGGGAGAGGTCAATGACTGCCATCTTGTCAATTTGAAAGTGACATAAACCTGCAAAACATAGAGATCAGGATGTTTCTCTTCTTGTTTCTCCAATCCAATCATGGGAGGCATGCATTCCACCAACAGTCTTCCCTGTAGCCAAAAAGGCAGGTTCAGGAAATAGATGAGAGATAGAAAAGGGGCTCCACTGGGGGCAAGGTGAAAAAAATTATAGAACCTCCCCCCACCCTTCAGCAAGGTCTAATCAGCTTAAAATCTTTACCAGGATTTGTATTGACATGCACTATAGTCATCCTTGGCCCCCTTCTACAACTGCTATCCTGCTTATTTGTACTGGCTTCTCCTGCAGACTACTTCTCAGGCCTGGGTGGATCAAGCATGCAATATGTAAAAGAAAATAGAAGTTAAAGAGAGCCAGTCAGAAATGCATGGTTGGTCAATGAAATTTCATATATAATTTCTTACTTTTTTAGTTAAAATTTTGGGATTGAAAAATAATTTTCCTGTTAAACACGACTGTTTTAAGTAAATTTATTTATTTTATATCTTGGTGTTTATCTGAATAACCTTACATATAGTAATTACGACTGATGATTTGGCTGCCATCTCACTAAGGAATTTTATTGGAGCTGTCAAAGGTACACGTGTGATGTGAAACAAATGTTCATTTGATTATCTCCAATTTAATCTCCATCCTCAAAGTCCATATTTTTATCTATGATAATTTATTGTATCTCATCACATTCAAGCAGGGTTTAACCAGGAATGCAAGAATAGCTTAAAAGCAGAACTGTGACTGTGATTCAACTCATTAAATCATTAGCAATTTAAAACAGAGTCAGGAAAAGCTGCTGGATAAAGTGAATAGCATTCGCAGGACAGCTGTGCCCCGCTCGCTCTCAGAAAGAGAAACGGGTTGCCCGGCCCCGCCCTGCTCAGCCCCGCCCGCCCGGCGCCGCCCCGCACTGGTGGGCAGGCCTTCCGCTTCCAGCCCCGTTTGCCGGGCTCCGGGGAAGGCAAGGCTCCCACGGCACGCGAGGAACCCGGTGGCCACGGCTGCCCCGCCCCCGTCCCGCTCTCCTCCGGGCGCTCCCGCGCGCTCACCGGCCTCGGGCTTCCGCCTCCCGCGGCCGCGGCCTGGGGGCGGCGGGTTGGACTACACTTCCCAGGAGCCCCCGCGCCGCCCCGCCCGCCCCGCGGACTGAGTCCGGGCTTCGCGGCGCCGCCGCGGTTCTCAGCGCAGAGTCCGCGGTGTCAGCGGCGGAGCGGCTATTGGGGAGTGGGCTGGTCGCCCGGGCAAAAGCCCCTAGCGCGCCAGCGGCCAGATGCAAGGGCGTGGCTGGCTGGGGCGGGACGCGTGTGCATGAGTGACGGGCCGGGGGAAGGGGTGCGGAGGCGGGGCGTGGCCTGAGAGCGAGGGGCCGGGGCGCGTGCTCAGTGGGGCGGAGGCGGGACTTGTGTGCGTACGCGACCGGCAGGGGCGGGGCGCCGCGTGAGCGAAAGT